ACGGAACATAAAATGAAATTTACCGCCGGAACCAAAAAGAAGGCTGACAAAGGAAAAAAAAACAATATTTTGGACTTTTTGCTATAAAACATGTCCAGTAAAAAAAAAATGCAAAAATCAAATTTAGTCATAAATTTCTGCCAAAATGGCTCTTTGCTAAAAAAAAAAAACCCAATACGTGAAATTAATTTAGTTTACATGAAAGTTATAGCGTTTACAAATGGCGGGAAAGACTGGCATTTTTAGGGTTTTTTTTATACTAAAAAATGGCGGCGATCAGAGAATTATGGAAGCAATCAGGGACTAGGCAGCGACCAGCGACTGCGGGGGACATTCTGATATTGGGGGGGTACTGACTTGGGTCACTGAAATCCCCAAAAACACTAATACAGTGATCAGTGCAAAAAAAAAAAAACTGACACTGTACTAATGGCAATGGGGAGGAAGGGGTTATAGCGGCTTAGTATCAAGGGAGACTAGAAGAGGGTTCTAAGGACAAGGACCTCTTCTTTCTCGAGTCAGCTCGACCAGCACAGCTCTGTGTGCACGTTTGTCCCCCAACATGCCAACGAGCGGCCCCGGCAACTGACATCTGTGGCGGTGACTGGGACAGATAGGGTGGCGGCGCGCCTCGCGCGTGCCCCCTATTTGTTTACAAAACACACGGCTTAAAACGCCTGGGAGTGCCGCCCTGCCACCGTATATGTAACTGGGCGGCATGTAGTTAAAAGGTATAGTACAAGTATAAACGCATTGTGCTGTGGGGGGTTAGGCCCATATGAGGGCTGGATGTTGGTCAAGACGTCAGTCCTGGCCATATGCCAGCTCATGGACGAGTGGTCCGCCGGAACCACTATAACTGAAATTGTAGAATAGTTAAACATATAATAAAGGCTAGAGATCTCCACAAACAAGTAGCTGTTGATTAGTATACCAGGATGTGGGCTTTATAGCGGCTTAGTATCATAGAGAAGAGGGTTCTAAAGGACCCAGTCACGACCAATCTGTCACGAGTCCCCCACATGCCACGCCCACAGCGACTAGCTAACAGAGGCACGCACGTGTGGCTGTGACTTCGGGTTACTTAACTTTGAATATATAAAACCGTATATAAGTTCAGCCGTGATATCCTTTCACAGCCCACACTACCTTTTGGCCACCACCAATCTCCAATCCAATCCAGCTGGTCGACCACACACTGGCAGATACAAATCTTATTTACAATCTGGTGTACTGACTAGAGTTGAGGACCAGCTTAGCAATTACACACCCTTCTAGAGGCCTTCCAGCTATCCTACAGCTTGAACCCCGGTGTTAATCAACCTTCCACTGTCAACACACCCCCACACCAGACACACCACAAAAGGTAGCCTGCCACCACCCAACAGATTATGCACAGAACGGTCTGCTGGGACACCCCACACACACAGATCTCCGTCTGGCAAATCTGTTACCTTTTACAATTTGCACGCAATCTGCCCACACACAGTGCAATTGCATACAGATTGGCAGTGAGCTTGACCGAGCGTTAAAGGCACTAAAATACAATACAATCTAATCTAATCCAATCTAATCTCTCCAATCTAATCTCCCCAATCTAATCTCTCCGAAGATATGAGCCCGTGCTTAAATACACAAAAGTCACTAACTAATTTTAAGCTTTAATTCCCAAAAGTGCGCAGTACATAAAACATTTACAGTATGTCACATGTACGTTACATCATGTCACATGTATGTTACAGACCCCTAGACAGAGGGCCCAGACTTAACATAACTAAAAAACAGTAAGGAAATTAGGTCATAATGACAAAACGGTCTCAGTTTTTGGGCTTATTTTTTGGGGTGCGATGTATCTCCCAATGTTGCCCAGTTGTCCAGGGAGTACTACCTGCAGCGAGGGCTTCAGTGGAGAGGCACAAGAGCCCGATGTGCCGAGGGCTAGGTTCCAGCAGTGCAGAGCTAGAGAGTTAGGTGGCCTTCTTCCCCGGTGGCGCGCATGTGCCCCCCCCCCCCCCCCCCCCAAGAGTAGTTTATCTCATTGTACAGACCAATTTATTATCAAATTCCTATTCTTAATAAATGTACATTTCTAACACTTAAAAAATAACAATAATAATAATAATAATAATAAAAAAAGATATACTTAAATCCACAATGATATACTAATCTAATACCTTATCCTTGAACAACAAGAGATTATTCATACATGGGTATTATATTGTGTTTGTGTGCACTGAAATTCATTTTAGTGTATTTTTACTGAAAATTTGTTTGATGTCAAATATAATGTGACATAAAAATATCAAAAAAAGACACCATTTTATATTTCAGGGCTTCTCCTTTCAGAAAATATATAATGTTTATTGTAATATTCTAGCAAAAAATAATTGCTGATTTAGGGCTAGTTCACACTAGCATTGAAAGCAGGTGTTTGAGGGGCGTTCTTAATGCTCCTCAAAAGCCTATGAAAATGATAATATAGGCAGCACACAGTGCTGTTCACATTATCAAAACATGAAGCGTGTCACGTCACTTCAAAATTGAAGCCTCATGTTGAGTCAGGAGGAGTTTGAAGCCTTTCAACGCCTCCCATTCCAGTCTATAGTGACGCTCCACAAACTCTCTTGCAAACTTTAGCGGGCCATTGGTGGAGTGGTGGTAGCGCGTTAGTAACATTGCAGCTTATTATAGGCATTTGTGGTGTAGTTTTAACGCTTGTAAAACACTTGTAAAAAACACTTCAAAACTGCACATAGGGCTTTGAGGAGCGTTTTTAACGCTTGTAAAAAGCCAGTCTAATGCCCATACGAAAGCTCATTAACACCCGTCAGCGCCCAAACTAAAGCTCATTAATGCCTGTCTAACACCTATACTAAAGTTATAGGTACATTTGGTAAGAGCTAGAAATTTAGTCAAGTGTGAACAAGACCTTAAATATCTAACAGAATCTAATATATAGGTGAGTACTGGCAATATCTGAGGAGTAGCTAGCACACAAGGTGAAGGTAACAATCCGCTACAATAGTATATGTAAGAAAGTGCAGTGCTAAAAAAATAAATATATATATATAATATAAAAATAAAAAAATATATGAAAACACATATATGGTGGAAAGTGAAAAAAACATTGGTAAATGCGAAATCTAAAAATCAAACAATATGGTAAAGTGCATCATGAATGTAATGAGCTAAGTGAAACAGTAAAGTGCATCAAGTGAAAGCATGAAAATATCAGCTAAACAGCTCAAAAAGCAAATGCCAAACAATAAAGTGTATCATGGGCAGAATCTAAATACAATAATGTCGTGGTGATCCGTGAAGTAAAGTGCAGTAGTAAATGATGTTACAATAAACATATAAAATCTGAGATATATAGATAGGATAAAACTCTAACAATAGATAGGAGCAACATAACTTTCCTTTTTTCAAAACGCAATAAAACCCATTTTATGAATCAGAATTGTTTTTATTGTCTTTTAATAATGTAGGTACATATCTAAAGTTCTGTTTTACACAGTTTTTTTGAAAATCATATCAGGTAGGTGACGCCCCCATTGTCCATACACTGAATAAGTGAATTCAGACCGGTATGTGAACACGTATTGGCAATTTCTGCGCAATTCAGGTCTTGTAGGGTCCTTGGACGGTTTACATAAATGCGGGATTTAAAAAAACCCCCACAAAAAAAAGTCGCAAGGGGCCAAATAGGGGAGCGGGGCTGGCCACTCCAAATCGCCCCTTATTGATATGAGGCGCTCCGGGAAGTGTTCCCTTAAAAGAGCCATTGCTGCTCTTGAAGTGTGAGCCTTGCTACCGTCCTGTTGGAACCAAATGTCCCCTAAGTCCAATTCATCAAGTGTAGAAAAACAAATTCCTCCAACATGTTCACATACCGGTCTGAATTCACTTATTTCAGTGTATGGACAATGGGGGGCGTCACCTACCTGATATTGATTTTCAAAACTGTGTAAAACAGAACTTTAGATATTACCTACATTATTAAAGACAATAAAAACAATTCTGATTCATAAAATGGTGTTTTATTGCGTTTTGAAAAAAGGAAGTTATGTTGCTGCACCCTGTATAATAGGAGTTCAAACCCAATCAACACTTTCAGTTGTATCCAATTAGGCAGGCCCTTGCACTACACAGTTGAAGGTAAATCTAAAGGATATTGGGCAGAAATTGGACAGAAAATTGTGTAGTGTATGGAAAGTCTTAGGTGCAGAGTTCAAATGTGCTGATGATCACACAAAGAATCCACCACCTCTCTCGGATGTACACTCAGATGAAAACTGGTAACAGGCAATCAAGCATATGCATCTGGTGAGTGTACATCCAACAGAGGTGGTGGGTTCTTTTGTGTGATCATCAGCACATTTGCACTCTGCACGTTTAACCACGGACAATTGATGTAATAGAGTTTTATCCTATTTATATATCTCAGATTTTATATGTTTATTGTAACATCATTTACTACTGCAATTCACGGATCACCACGGACATTATTGTATTTAGATTCTGCCTGTGATACACTTTATTGTTTGGCATTTGCTTTTTGAGCTGTTTAGCTGATATTTTCATGCTTTTACTTGATGCACGTTACTGTTTCACTCAGCTCATTACATTCATGATTCACTTTACCATATCATTTGATTTTTAGATTTCGCTTTTACTAATTTTTTTGCACTTTTATGTGTTACAAGACCTTAAATATACTGTATGTATAATCTCTTGTGTAAATATTGGTAGCCTTAATGCTCATAAAGTGATTTGTTATTCTTCTCAGTAGGTTAAATTACATCATAACTATTTGTATATGGCTGGCTTGCATGACCAATCTCTGCGCCTTCTTTGCACCAGAGGTTGTGTAATAAACAGAGAAAGCGAGCAAAAAAAAAAAAAGGCAGTGCTGTTGTGTCATTCCCCCTCCCATTGCCTTCATAAGGGAAGTACTTGTGCCTTGAACTCTGTCTCTGAGCTTATACTCCATAGGAAAAATGTCTGCTGCTGAAGAGAAAAAAACAAAGAGGGAGGAATTCCTTGCCGAAATTAAAAAAGTTGCAGAAAAAGCCAGTAAGATGACACCAGAGGAGCTGAAGTTCAATTATAAGGGAATTCTGTACCCTAGTGTTCTTTGCAGTGAAGCAACTTTTCAAGCAATGGAGAAATTGGAAGCTAGACAAGATGACGTGCTAATTGTAACCTATCCAAAATGTGGTAAGTGTGTTGACTGTGAGTTTTCTTTTGTCAAATGGGAAGTCTGATTCCTTAGGGCTCATGTGCACTGCAGCTAATAAACTCACATTTAGGAGATTTTCTGCGTTTTTTTTTTTCCAGCAGCCCCTGAACTCTCCCTAATGTTTTCCTATGTGTCCATGTACACTATGTGGTTTACAGTCGTTTACAGGCAGTTGAGTTTACAGTCTTTTTTTTAACGCACCAAACTTGCGTTCAGGAGTTGATTTTATCAGCATTTCAACCACCAAACGCTTGTAAACGCAGCTAACTATATTTAACGTTTATAAGTGTTTGCCTTTTAGAAGTGCTTTTTAACTCTTCCATATCCCAAAGCGTTTTCCATGTATTCAAATGGACCTAGTACACCAGGGCAGTCAGTTCCAGGTTTTGCGTGAAGAAAAAAATGGTAGAACGTGCCGCATTATGCTCATGATGGGATCCATAGTGAATACAACCAGAAAAGACAGGTCATCTCAACACATACTGCTCTTTCTGGTTCTGCTCTCTCTATTTCTCTCAATGTCTGAAATAATAAATTTTTTAATATTTTTCAGTGCATTCTGGGCATTTGGAAAGTCTCCTGAGGTTATCTTTTAAAAACGCTTCTAAACGCAAATGCGTATAAATGTGGTATGCAAACGCGGCTAAACAGACTTTTTTTAACTTACGTTTTCCAGCAGTCAGTTTCCATCGTTCAGAAGTGTTTTCCAAACGTTCCATGTACATGGAGCCTTAAAGTTGAACTACAGGCAAACTGCTAAATAAACAGCTAAAATACGTATATGGCACCTAATTTATCTGGTAAAAAAGATTGCATTTTTGTTTATCCATACCTGTGAGATGGGCCAGGCTCACACCATGACATTTTTGCACATGTTATTTCAATGCACATGACTGGCAAAGGTGTGGTTTCATTACTTAGTGCACTAGGGCGTGTTGACAGTAAATATGCCCTTGGATGTCCTCTGAACTCATCTGTATGCAAACTCCAACTTTGTGCTATTTTTTAGTCCAGTCGGCTGCACGCTAGGTTATTCCCCACCGCACAGGAAAACTAAAAAAGGGGTGGAGCACTGGTGATGTCAATACCCTCATATGGACCCTTGCCTATATTTAGTCAATGTTATTGAAAATGATTAGGAAAATAATGCAAAAAATGAACCTTTGCAGAGAAATGAGTTTGTAGAATGCCTGGGGAAGGATCCCAGCCAGTAAGGTCTCATGCACATGGGACATCTGATGGCCTTGTCATGCTTTGGTGTATGTTCATGGGTATAAACCATGCAAAAAAATCATTTATGTGTACAGATGTACAGTACATCCTGGACACAGACAGTATCTGGACGCCCAGCCCCAGGGTTGTATGTCTGTATGCATACAAATGTTTAGGTATACCCACATACAGTCAATGATTTCTATGGGCAGCTGTACATAGCACCTGTGACTCCTTGAAAGGGAAATAACAATACACACAAATTTACATTGCACAGCACCCAGGCACCTATGTGCAGGAGGCCTAAAGGAGCAGTTTTCTAACTTGTTAGCATGTTCCTTTGACATCTCCTGTTCACTACAGCCCACCTGATTCTTTACTTGTGCAGCATTTCCCTTTCCCAGTACTAATGCTGTTATACAGGGTCTTCTATGCAGATGCCAGGGTGAATGCTGGTATTTGCATTAGGAACATATTAGCATTTAATTATTTTTAAATTAATGTATAATTAAAATCATTGGTCTTGTATTTAATCTGTGTGTAACACCCTGCAGTAATACTGGTTGCAGGATGTTAAATGGACACAAGATGGCAGTGTTCTGCAGATCAGTTATGCAGACTCTGTTGAAGAAATGCTTTTTGGACTTGAAGGCTGACAGCAAGACTTCACTGTTTATTAACGAGTTAACAAACTACATTTCCCAGAGTGGCTGGTGGCTGGGCAGAGGCAAATAAATAAAGAAGGGGTGGGCTCCCTCAGGTTCTATTAAATGCATGTGCCTCTACTATGGTGGCTCTCAACATTTGTAGAGTTAGCACTACAGAATATTGGGGTGCTGTGATGTGGTTCTGTAGCTTACATATGTATTTGCAAATGTGTGCTAACTAAACCCCTGTTTTTAACGCATACTGTTAAACAGGTTAATTCGGTTTGTTTGCAAGCTGGCTGGCAAGCTGGGAAGGGAATTTTTCTCTCTTTTTTTTTTGTTTGACATGCGTTGCCCATCCATGTGTTCCTTGCTGGGAAGGTGTCAGGGAGCGAGGAGCCAGACACACAAGGAGGTGCAATAAAAGGTAGGTTTTATTGTAGAAAAACAAGACAGTCTATGCAAGTACAACAGCAACAGCGAATGACTGGGTAGGACAGTAGCCAGGGAAGATGGTCGCCAAAACCGGGGTCAGAAGCCAGGAAGGATGATTGCCAGAGCCGGGGTCAGAAGCCAGGAAGGATGATCGCCAGAGCTGAGGTCAGAAGCCAGGAAGGATGGTTGCCAGAGCCGGGGTCAGAAGCCAGGAAGGATGGTCGCCAGAGCCGGGATCAGAAGCCAGGAAGGATGGTCACCAGAACCGGGGTCAGAAGCCAGGAAGGATGGTCGTCAGAGCCAGGGTCAGAAGCCAGGAAGGATGGTCGCCAGAGCCAGGGTCAGAAGCCAGGAAGGATGGTCGCCAGAGCCGGGGTCAGAAGCCAGGAAGGATGGTCGCCAGAGCTGGGGTCAGAAGCCAGGAAGGAGTCTTGCCAAAAACCGAGTTGATATCCAGGAGAGCGCTGAGACACTAACAGGAGCTTGTTGCAATTCAACAGACAGGACACGAATGCAAAGAGCAGCTGCAGACAGCAGGCTTAAATGTGATAAGCCACCACCTCCTGCAGGAGGAGCCACAGAGCTTGACAGCATAAAGGATCCCACAATGCTTTGCAGAAACCTAAGATGGATGCAATCACATGGAGCAGCACAAGCTCTGAGGAAAGGTAGGACCTTGACAGTACCTCCTACTCAAGGACCCCTCCCCCTCCGTGGCTCAACATAAGGCTTCTGGGGAAAGCGGGCGTGAAAAGCACGGAGGAGGGCAGGAGCATGAACATCCGCAGAAGGAACCCAGGAACGCTCCTCGGGACCATAACCATGCCAATGGACCAGGAACTGCACCCAACCACGGACCAACCGAGAGTCCAGGATGCAGCTCACCTCATACTCCTCATGACCATCAACCCGGGATAGGACGAGGCCAAGGCAGAGAGGCAGTAAAGCGATTACAGAGCAGAGGCTTCAACAGGGATGCGTGGAAGACATTGCAGGTACGCATCCCAGGAGGAAGAGCAAGGGCATAGGCAACCAGGTTCACCCTGCGGAGGATGCGGAAAGGACCAACAAAACGGGGAGCCAGTTTCGGTGCGAGCACCCGCAGATTGAGGTTACGAGTGGACAACCACACCCGATCTCCGACCTGGTATGAAGGAGAGGGCAACCATCTACGATCAGCCTGGAGCCTCTGGCGCTGTGCTGAGTCCTTCAATGACCTCTGGATCTGCCCCCACGAGGAACGCAGGGCAGCAAGATGGTTATGCACAGCCGGAATGTCCTATGGCGAGAACAACTCAGGCAATACAGCGGGTTGGAAACCATAGTTGGCCATGAAGGGAGACATCCTGGGGGAGGAGTTGACAGCCGAGTTCCTCGCAAACTCTGCCCATTGTCTTGATGGTCTGATAAATAGCAGCGAAGGAATTGTTCCAGGGCCTGGTTCGAATGCTCCACAGCCCCATTGGACTGCGGGTGGTAGGCCGAAGAGAAGGAGAGCTTGATACCCAACTGGGAGCAGAAGGCGCGCCAGAACCTGGACACAAACTGGCTCCCACGGTCTGAGACAATCACCTTGGGCAACTCATGCAAGCGAAAGATCTCCCTGGCGAAAACCGTAGCCAGTTCTTGCGCAGTCGGCAATTTCTTGAATGGAACACAATGGCACATCTTGGAAAAACGATCAATGACCATATGGCCTTGAGACGCAGGGAGGTCCACAATAAAAATCCATGCCCAGGTGTGACCAGGGACGCTCCCCATTAGGAATGGGTTGCAGAAGGCCCAATGGAAGATGCCGAGGAGACTTATTCTGGGCACAGACCGAACATGCCGCTACATATGAGGCAATGTCAGAACGGAGAGATGGCCACCAGAATAACTGAGAAACGATCCAGGACAACTGGTTCCTCCCTGGATAACCGGCAGTCTTGGAATTATGGTAGGTATGCAGCAGGCGGTACACAATCCCTCAGGTACGAAACTTCTGCCAGCCGGTCTCTCAGGGGGAGCATCAGTTTGAGCCACCAAAATCTGCTCCCCAAGGGGAGAAGTCAGGTTGGTACGAATGGCAGCCAGGATCTGGTCCGGAGGTATGACTGAGGTCGGCTCAGAGTCCTCCCTGGACAGCTCAGAGTATTGCCGCGACAAGGCATCAGCACTGACATTCTTGGAGCCAAGCAAATAGGATACCACATAGTTAAAATGCGACAAGAACAGAGCCCATCTGGCCTGACGGGGGGCCGTCAACCTCTTAGCCTCCGAGAGATACGTCAGGTTCTTGTGGTCAGTGAGAATGAGAACCGGAACCACAGAACACTCGAGCAGGTGCCTCCATTCCTTGAGAGCCTGAATAATGGCCAACAACTCCCTGTCCCCAATCTGGTAGTTGCATTCTGCAGAGGAAAGCTTCCTGGAGTAGAACCCACAGGGAAGTAGGGGTCCACCGGGTGACCGACGCTGAGACAAGAGGGCGCCTACTCCCGTCTCAGAAGCATCAACCTCAAGGACAAAAGGCAACCCAGGGATGAGACAGTATCGGAGCCGAAGCAAAGGCGGATTTCAGAGCTTAGAAAGATAAGATGGCCTCGGGTGACCACTCGTGAGGATTACTGCCCTTCTTGGTCAGATCTGAGAGAGGCTTGGCCAGCGTGGAGAAGTTCCTGATAAACTTCCAATAATAGTTG